CAGAATTTCCATGCTGAATTGTAATTGTTTCAGTATTGTTTCTATACTTAAGTATTTACTATTGAACACACAAGCGGTAACTTTTATCTTGCTATTCAATTTTATTCAATTCAATTCAATTTTATTCATATAGTACCAAATCACAACAGCAATCGTCTAATGGCACTTTATATTATACCGTAAATAACCTGCAACAATAGAGACAAAACCCAAACAATCAGACAACCCCCTACCAAACACTAATATGCAAAAAAAAAAAACCCCACTGTTGTTGCTTTTTTATTAGCTTTTTAAGACTGCTTCTAATCCACACAAGTATTATTTAATTCTATTACAAGTGTATACTATAATATACAGGAAATGTTTTATGTGTATTCTATTTGTGTATCCAGTGTGTTTATCTAATCTAATGCAGGAAATAGGGCACAGCAGGGGAAGACTGTAAAGTAATCTGAGGAATGCGAAGAGAAAGAGTAATAGAAATTACTATGAGGCTACCATTAGAATTAGGATCATATTGAGAGAAAAAAAATATTATTGATCATTTTGAGAATAAAGTCAAAATGTAAAGGTTTCAGTTGTTTCGTTACAAACTGCCACGGTTGCTGTACCCTCTGACTCAATGAAATCTGACCTCAGAATCTGTTTTAGCAACAAGGAATGAAATGAGTTCTCTTTTAACCACTGAGGGGTGATCAGGATGAGGACGTTTAAGAGTTGTACAGATTTGTGTAAAATTAAATGGCTGGTAAAGGTGAGATGAAAGATTTTTAACTATCACACCGTCATGCAACAGAGGGGATGAATGTTGTATCACAAGGTGACTGATCCATTTGTTTCATTAACTCACCTCATAAAAAAGACATTTTGTACAGAGTGTTGCAGTGGTGCCAGTCTGTGTTAAAACAACAGTAATCTCCTGATTTGAACTAATCAAGAATTTTACTTGAAATTTCAACTTTATTCTCAAAATGATCAATGACATAGGCAGTTTATGTTGAAACAGCAACAGTTTTCAAATATTCAATTCAATTTCAAATTTTCTCTCAAAATGAACAACGATGATCAATTTTTTTCTTAATGTACCCTAACACATGTGCTTGTTAATTTCTTTGCATGTTGTTCTTGCAACACACAAATTTACCCTTTCTGTACAGAAACAACAGAGGCAACAAGAGGTTGCTGGGAAGACTAAACCAGGGACTCCATGACATTAAAATACATCCATTAAGTCCTCCTGTGGTATACAGTACAGACCAAATCAGATCCCAAAAAGATTTCAACACCAGCATTCCCAGTATGGTCACAATGGTGTAAAATGCCCTCTTCTTTGA